TTGTATTTATTTACAGAGGTATATTATGTCACACTTCTCTAGTTAGTTTTTTCTGTGTGAAGACAGTAGCGCAAATCCGTGAATGAATGTTCCTTAGTGAAATAAACTTCAACGAATAAAGTTGAATGGAATTGAATTAAAGTTGAATAAATTTCAACTTTACTGTTCAGTGCACTGATGTCAGACTCATTTTGGATAATAAAGTTTATTGTTAAATTGTTAAATGCCCTGCCTCCGTTACATATCTCTGTCACGTCATTATAAGAGTTTCTTCACCACATTTGAGTGATCATATATATATATATATATATTACCAGTCAAATGTTTGGACACACCAATGGGAAAGTGTCCAAACTTTTGACTGGTACTGTACTATAATATACACAAAGAATATCGGCCTTTTTTCACTCCCTAATATCGGTATCGGGCCCCCCAAAAAACCATATCGGTCGGGCTCTAATAAAAATACCACAGAAAGAAAGTTAGTCAATATCACACGAAGAGTGTCAGTTTTCACCTCTAAAATCAGCATGATTACAAATGTGATTTTATTCAACAATTCAATAAACAAGAAGGTAATATTATGAGACTTACATTTGAGACACTATATTGCCTGTTTTTGATTTATTTGGCCAACAAAAAAATTCCAAACACAGCCACAGCGCTGTTTTGCATCTCTTTGCAAGGTGACGGCATTTCGTTCCTGAATGAATCACCAGTTTAAATGATTCCGTTCAATCGCAATGACTCACTTCTTAACAGTGACTTGCTGCCACCTGCTGGTGGTTTTAATTTCACATTTAAAGTATCTTTTCGTTTTTAATATAATTTTAAATATCAGTATTCAATGTTTTATGTTTAAAATAACGAAATATTATTTATGCATTTGTAACTGCAGGTTAAATGCATTCATGTCCCTCTGTGTGGGAAATTCATCCCATGCAGCTTCTGTGTTTCCTCTGCATTGCAAAGATTAATTTTGATACTGATATCATTTGTTTGGTAACAGCCCAAATGTCTTTTATTCTAATTGACTGATTAAATGTAAGAATTTGACTCAAAAGATGATGCACACTTTTAGAAAAAAAAAAGTTTTTATAAAAGGTAAAAATGACCATAAAATGTAAAAATCAATTTAAACTTATTGGAACAGATTAATTTCTATCACTGCTGTGAACTGACCCGCACACAGAATATGAAGGATATCAAAAACAAGTTTTACACACACGTGTACGTATAGGGACATTTAAGAGGGTTTATTCACCAAATAACTCTAATTTCATGTTGCATAAAAATGTGTATGGTCTCTTGTTCTTGTTCCAAGTTACCTTCCTCTCCACTGATTTTTGCCTCTCACAAAAGCCACAAAGCCTTCCAAGAAGACAGTAAAGGCTTCAGCTTTAGTTAGACTGAAACTTGAAAGTTCCATTGTATGACATAAATGCAATGTTTAGGTATTATTATTATTTTTATTACTATTATTTTTATTTATGCCTTAGTTTTAGTTTGTATTGTTTAATGTGTAATAGACTTTTGTATTTTTATTTATTTTTTTATTGATATATTTGTATTTGCATTTTGAATGCAATTTGGCAATTAAATACATTAAATGGGTTTAGTTTTCACGGTTATTAATGTATGCAATTTCAGCAATTAAAATGTTAATTTTTCTAAAAGAAAACAAATTAGTTGTTTATTTTAAGAGATCTATCTTATTATCTCTTGTATATTTAGAATTGCTCTTTAATAAAGAAAAATGACATCTTATCCGATTACTCAATTAATCGATGGAATAATCTGTAGAATACTCGATTACTAAAATAATCGATAGCTACAGCCCTAAAATAATTTGATGAAATATAGATTTTTTTTTTTTAGGTAGACTGCACTGAATGTGGGACAATCAGGATCTCCATTTCAAAAAAAATTTGTGATTCTCAATTTATTCAGAAATGTTGTAGCTGTAGGTGAAGGAATCTCCGAGGTGAAAATGTGAGGAGAATGTCAACTTTGATTCAACAAATGGCCTGGAAATCAGCACAGAGTGCTAAGTGACATGATGTGAAGGTGTGCAACGCTCATGAAAGAATCATTTTAGCAGAAGATTCACCTGATAATAGCATTGCAAGGTGCTTGGCAAGAATCAGGATTAGTCACAGTACAACGTTGTGGGTAAAGAAGTAAAAATAACCCCATAACTACATCTCTCTCTTTTTCTGTTTTTCTTGGGTGAGTGACAGCTTTATTCTGCTGAAAGAATTTCATTGGATTGCAGCCATGACTGAAAGTTCATAACAATACCTGACGAAAGATTCATGACTGTAGAGTCAAGTCCTGTTAAAGACCTCCATGGGTTTTAAGGACTTCGTTTAATTGAAACTAAACGTCAAAAAGATATGCCCCCCTCATAAAGTGCTTTTAGAGTATTAATCCAAAACATTATTCACAATAAAATTGGCCAAGAGCCACACAGAAACAAGCCGAAAATAACTAACCAGGCTGGCCTGCAAATACTAGTTCCTATGACAACAAGTAGAAGTATAGACCAGACGGTTTTCTGCTGAAATAGAGGGGGGATCTCTGAATGATTCATCTTGCAGAGAACAGCCTGTAAAGTTACAGGAGGCAGGTAGAGAAGGCCACATGAACTCACGGTTACAGCGGTCAGGTCATGGGGAAGTCTTTAAATGTCAGACGATAATGTGTGAGCATGTTTTACCATAAAGTCCCACCTTTCAGTTTGCGTTTCTCTGGGTTACAATTGGTAACCACATGACTGTGGGTATTTGAAGCATCAGAAAAGCAAAACTGAACTGCACACAAACAGGGAAATAGCTTAGTCAAACAGCAGCCATGCAAAGAACACCGAATCAACAGTGGAGAACTGCATGATGTAACATTTTACCTAAGCTTTTGTGACCATCATGTGTCATTTTTTGTCTTTTGTAGTCACTGGATACTAAAGGATAAAGTCTGAGAACGAAATGTAATCTAAATTCATCCATGAATATGTAACTACTTATAATCTGCCAGAAAATAACGCAGGGGAACAGACCAATCAATCACAGAACTGTTAAAGTCCCCCTGTAGTGAAAATCAAGTTTTTTTAATGTTGTTTATTTGTCTATGTGGTGTTTTTAATTTGCTTTTAGACAAACCATGTGCCAATCCACAAATCAACACCATTGCCAAGTATTTTCTCCTTAAAACGGTAGTTTCCCAATGGCAGTCCCAGAAACGCTTTGCTACGTCACAAAATTCAATAACCAATCACGTCAAGGGATAGATTCCTATCATTAGCATATCCCTCTCTCCATTTATACAAACGCGGCACGCATAGAGATAGCATGCAAAATATTCCAATAGGATTACCAGCATAAAACCAAAAATAAAATAGTGCAAAAAAGCCATGAAGCCGTGGTTTAATGTGAATTTAGAACCGCTAACTTGAATAATAACCCGCGGCAACAGTGGAAAAGTAGCCCGGAGTCAGATCCACCTCTCCTGCACTTCACATGCGTATGCTCGCAGGCGCGAAGTAAGAATCACAAACTTGGCTGCATTCGAGTCTTCAAGGCATTTTGAGGACACAACATTGTCAAGTAAGTAACTTTAACGACTGTTACAGTGTCCACTGTAGTTGTCCGCTAGTAAAAACATAGTTTTATCAGTCATTATCCGTGGATCAGGAGGACCTGGCTTGTGTGACTGAGTGGAGGCGGGGCTAATTTGCGTATTCATAGATCTGCATATAGTAAATGAGGCAAGGGTGTAGAGTTACATTCAAGCTATTTTAAGGCATGAGAAAATTATTTTCACAAGAAAAAACATTTAAATATGTAATTTTGATGATCAAAGATGAGTTTTAAGGAATAAAATGTTTGACTACAGGGGGACTTGAAGAAAACATGAAGAAACAGCACTGAAACAAGCAGTGGGTGGCTGGAGAGAGATCATGATGCTTTTAGGTATTCTGATGATGTTTATGCTTTATCAAAGCTTGACTAACCTCTGCAACCTTTGGAGGAACTCCATCGCCCAGTACTTCCCTGTAGAAGCATTGCTGGGTCATATAGACAGACAGGCCACTGGTCCTCTTGAAGGCATCTCGCAGACGTTTGAGCTCCACATCGGTAACTGTGAACACAGTAGGAAGTTGTCAAAAAGCTGTATAGGATATGAGATTGTCATCAATCAAAATTTCTTCAAAATGAGGTTCAAGTTTTATTTCAGCTATTGTCTAAAGGTCTGTTCCCAAGTTTGATGTCTTGTTTACATGTGGCATTAAATTATGCTAAATTTTCCTCATTCTCTGAAAAACAATGTATGAATATCTGAAAGAATTGTATAAAATAAAATAAATAATAAAACCTATATAATAATAATAATAATAAAATGAAAAATGTGTAAACATTTTAATTAGGCTATTAAATGTCTATATACATTACCATTCAAAAACTTGGGGCTGGTAGGATTTTTTAAATTGTTTCGAAAGAAGTCTCTTATGCACACCATGACTGCATTTATTTAATCAAAAATACAGTAAAAACAGTAAATGATATGCAAAATGTAAAAATTTTAAATATCTCTTTTCTATCTGAATACATTTGAATAACATTTTGATCAATTGAATGCATCCTTGCTGAATAAAAGTACACATTTTTATAAAAAAGCAAAACAAAACAGGAAAGTGAAATGAGAAAAATCGAGACATGACACATGCCAGATTCAAACTAGAATACCTTTGAGCTCTTTGTTGTCCTCAAAAAAAACAACTTTGAAGAGTATGATATTTCCGAATTGGCATCAAGCTTTACTGTATTTATGCAGTTTTTACATGCAAAAAAATTCATGTTTGGTGCAAACGGGGCGGGCCTTAGGCCTGTGAAATGTTGCTGCTGAGAAATTTCTTTTAAGTCAAAGTCATTGCCATCTTTGCACATTTCTCCTCTAGCTCAAAGCATGTTGAGTTATGATGGCAGAGAAGGATTACAACAGTCAGTACTCTTTCATCCCTCTCTCTCTCTATCTCTCTCTCTCTCTCTCTCACACACACACACACACACACACACACTCATCCCTTTTAAAACATCACCGCCTCTGCAGCCTGTATTTAACCCAGACACTTACAGGAGACCACTGCTGCTTCACGCCACTCATAGCCTTGTACTGCCTAGCACAATACATCACAGACCTGCTCATAAACCACAGCACTGTTCTATCTGACCCATCCATAACAGGGTCAGGGTCAAGAGTAAACACAATGCTCTCTGCAAATGGGATATTTCCAGGAATGCTTTATGACAGAACAGACTTTGACTTTGAAATACCACTAATATAGACATCCAGGGATGATTAATCAAGTTGTTCCAAACCTGCATGAATATATTTATTCTGCTAATATTTTAAAGATTTTTTTTGAAGATGGAAAAGTTATGCAAGTTATGTATTCAGGAAGATAGCACATCTCAAACACATTAAACAGCGCGAGTAGCCTAGTGTCTGTCAGCGGCACACGCAGCCTTTCAGTCAGAGCAAATGACGGGCCGAGCCGCTTAAACTAATATGCGAAACGAAACTATAAACTATACTATGTCTTACCAGTTTTTAAAGGCCTTAATATGAAGCTTGTCACATGTTTAGAACAAATTGGATTATGCACTTTCTCTGAAGCAGCTCAGTCTGTGTCCTTCGCTATATTTTCAGATGCGCTCGTATCAAACTACTGTATATCAATATAAACGGTATTGCCTCATATCGAATCACTTGTAAAGAAAACATCGATATATCGTACAAACTCGATATACCGCCCAGCCCTAGTACATACTAGGACTGAAACGATTCCTTGAATACCTCGAGTAACTCGAATACAAAAAATCATTGAGGCAAATTATTTGCCTCGAGGCTTCATTTAGTCCATTTACTGTAACTACACACGGAACACCGTGTTTCCCCACGGACCATTATTACTCACGCACAACACGATAAACGCTGGACCAGACCATAGACTGTATAAAACAGGGAGCAGACTTAAAAAAAAAAAAAAGCGCTGGACATATTTAAGACCGTAAATCCATATGGTGGCTAGTTATAATGTCCCTACGTTAGCTATGTTTTGTGAAAGACTAAATGCCATTGTGCATAAAAATACCACAGAAAGTAAGTTAGTCAATATCACACGAAGAAATCAGCATGATTACAAATGTGATTTTATTCAACAGTTCAATAAACAAGAAGGTAATATTATGAGACTTACGTTTCAGACAATATATTGCCTGTTTTTGCTTTATTTTGCCAACAAAAAAATTCCAAACACAGCCACAGCTCTGTTTTGCGTCTCTGTGCAACATGATGGCGTTTCGTTCCTGTATGAATCAACCGTTTAAATCAGTGGTCACCAACCTTTTTAGGCCCAAGATCCCTGACCTCGGCCTTTATGAAAGACAAGATCTACCTATTGAAGAATTGATAGAAAAAGACATCCCAGATTGTACTTCAAATTTGAGGCCTTTTACTTAGTATGATTAATTAGTGAAATCATAGCTGATTCAGAATTGAGATTTTCTTTTCTTTCTTTCTTTTTTTTAACTAGCAAATTGGATTCTGATACTGATACTGATATTTAAGCAAATTTATTTATTGGCTATTTGCTTTATAACAAACAAACTGGCTTTAAACTAAAATATCTAGATATTTGAAATTAGAGGCAACCACTGCATTTTAATCATTATCTGCACGGGTAGTTGTTTTGGATTTGATTTAGATTAATTTCAGGATTTAAAACAAAAACAGAATGGTCTGACTTTAGGTGTTATTTATTTATTTGCTACATAAAACATCTGCACGAAACAAAAACAGCAGGTCTGAATGAGACGCACTCTCTGACAGCAGGTAGCGCCTATGAACAGGGTTGCCAGGTTTTCGCAATAAAACTAGTCCAATCACGTTTCGAGGAGGGTTCCCCTGTAAAAATCACATTCCGGGGGTAAAATACACGTTTTCCGGAGGGGATCTTCAAGTAAAATTTACATTCCAGGGACTAAATATCACGTTATTGGGGTCGCTTCAACCCGCGGACATGAACAACAACCTGCGACAACAGTGTTAAGTAGGCCAATAGCCCAACAGTGTTAAGTATCCCAATTCCGCGGCAAAACCGCGGACTTGGCAACACTGCATATGAACCGACCGCACTATAGCGCGTCCTTGGTTACCGCTGTAAACAAAGCAGAGCATTAATATAACCCCATAAATGTAATGCATTTTTGTACTTATTTTACTGTTTTTTTCGGGATCTGGGTCAGTGATAAAGATCTACCTATCGATCGCGATCGACGGGTTGGCGACCACTGGTTTAAATGATTCGGTTCAATCACTATAGGGCCTTTACGCGTATGAAAACGCCCTCACCCGCCATGATTTAAAACGCCGTGTAAACATACTGTAAACATTGTGTCAACTTATTTCGCAAGTATGGAGAACAGCGATAGATGGACGGACGCTGAAGTGCAGGTACTTGTAGCAAATGTAGCACTGCCAGTTGTCGTTGGAGATTCTTAGTGCTCCTTTCCGTTCTTTCAATTGCTTTACGTATATGTCGACTTTCCCATAAAATGTAAAAATCTATTTAAACAAATTAATTTCTATCACTGTGCTGTGAACTGACTCACACACAGAATATGAAGGATATCAAAAACAAGTTTCACACACACACACGTGTACATATAGGGACATTTAAGAGGGTTTATTCTCCAAATAACTCTAATTTCATGTTGTAGAAAAATGTGTATGGTCTCTTGTTCTTGTTCCAAGTTACCTTCCTCTCCACTGACTTTTACACACGTGTACATATAGGGACATTTAAGAGGGTTTATTCTCCAAATAACTCTAATTTCATGTTGTAGAAAAATGTGTATGGTCTCTTGTTCTTGTTCCAAGTTACCTTCCTCTCCACTGATTTTTGCCTCTCACAAAAGCCACAAAGCCTTCCAAGAAGACAGTAAAGGCTTATGTCATGCTTGAGCTTTGGTTAGACAAACTTGAAAATTAAGTTGCACGACATAAATGCAATGTTTAGGTATTATTATTATTAATATTATTTTTATTTATGCCTTAGTTCTAGTTTGTACCGTTTACCTTTTTAAAAGTAATGTGAAATTGATTTTTGTATTTGTATTTATTTATTTAATTTTTTAATTGATATATTTGTATTTACATTTTTTATGTAATTTGGCAATTAAATACATTAAATGTGTTTAGTTTTCCCGGTTATTAATGTATGCAATTTCAGCAATAAAAATTTAAATTTTTCTAAAAAGAAAACAAATTAGTTGTTTATTTTAAGAGATCTATCTTATTATCTCTTGTATATTTAGTATTGCTCTTTAATAAAGAAAAATGACTTCTTATCCGATTACTCGATTAATCGATGGAATAATCTGTAGAATACTCGATTACTAAAATAATCGATAGCTACAGCTCTATTACATTCACATTGTTATTGTTACAAACAGCAATGATAATGGCTTAAAGGCACAATATGTAATTTTCGCCGCTAGAGGGCGTGAATTCAAAATAAACAAATAGACAAAGGCTAGTTTGATGATGCCATGACTGAGTGTGGAATCATGGGAGTTGTGGTCCTCATCCCCACAGCCGATGCAATCATGTTCATGGATGAGCTAATGATTTATTAACATAGTAGAATGAAGCAGGGTGAGCTTCGTCGAAGTGAAACGAGGCCGCTGAACGAGCGTGACACACGCCTCAAAAGCAGCGACGCTTTTATTATGCCACAGTCGACCGCTTCTGCTCCTTCCGGTCGCGCGTATGTAGGGAAAAAAAGCAGCGCTATTTTATCATACTAGATACATTTGAAAGTTCTGTTATAATGCTACTCTGTGCGGTCGTCACCGTCAACTAAAACGCACAACATATTAAAGCGACTTTGGTGTTTCCATGTTTTCTACAAAACAAAACCGGAAATCGTTTCCATGACACTATGGAAACGGTCCGTGTCACTAGTTAAAATTGCTTATTTCTCTGGATTTAAAGATTCTTCAAAACAT